AAAAATGCCTACAATCTAAAATAACTGACTTTTTTTAAGTGAATATTTTTATTGTTTCTTTTTAATTGATATACATTAATTTAACCTAAAAGTGAAATATATTGGACTTCATGTCCATTGATAGATAAGCAAGAAACGAGAAAATTATCATCCAGGCGTTAAAACCGAAAGTGCCGCCATTATCGAAACTTGACAAATAAAAATTTCTTATAAAAAATAATTTTTGAAATTTTTAATTACATCGTTGTAAATTTAGACATAATAATGTAAATAAAGTTGATTTAAATATTTAGTTTGCACTTTTATACATACGATATTAAATTAATGAATTTTATAATAGATTCTTAAACAGGCTTGATACTTTTATGGAACTGAAATTATGACCCCGCAGATAACGACACTTGGTTATAACGTCAAAAAATTGCCGGTCCCATGGATGACGTTATAAGCAGGTTAAACTGTACATGCAATTTAAATGTTAGATTCCAGTCGAAATTAACTCCTAGGTAATTTATTTCATTCACTGTTTGTAGTAAAATTGTTTAGAGATAAATTTTTGTTTCATTGATGGATATTTTACTGTTATTCCGAAATATAATTATTTTAGTTTTGCTTGGATTAATTGCTAAATATTTGGACTTGAAATACAAATTTGTTTGGTTTATTTTCCTTTGGAGTGCTTGTATCGCTTCCACTATATAATCATTGAAAAATTTTTGTTATAATATAAATTTGAAGTAATCCAAGTTTCTGTAATTGCTAAAATATCCAGTTCGTATTTAGTGCAAATTTTAACTATAATGACATTTTATTTTTTATTCCTTGACCATTCCAGTTTACAATGGAAACCATTTGATTATTTTTTATGGTTCTATTAAAATGATTATATTTTTGTTTGTCATGGTATCAGCTGTTCCTATCTATTTGGTCACTATAAGGATGAAAGTTGTTTACATAAACCAATTTACACAATTTTAAACTATATGTTATTTTTTATTGATTTATCATTAATATATCATTACGAAGTTTAACTTGATGTTTTTGTTTTCGCCATTCATAAAAAATTGGGAGTAACTTTTTCCTTCTTAATCTTGAGTTTTTGGTTAATTCTGGTGTCCATTTGCATGTCTTTCCATTCATTTGATGTATTTCTTAGTTGTTTCTTTTGAATAAAAGTATAGAAGAATTTATCACGGATTTGCTTATTATTAAATATTATTCTTACTACTATGTTAGGTTTCTTTGTTATTAAGTTTGTTTCTATTATATCAGATTGGGATATGTCATTAATATTAAGTACATTTGTCATAAACTTATATATTTCTGATGTAGATATAGATTTTTCAACAGGATAATTGTATACTATTACTTTTTTATAATTATAATCATTATTTAAAGAATCTATTTTGAATTGCATTAGTTCGTTTTCACTTTTTTGTTGTTCTAATTGTTGTTGTAAATTTTTAATTTCCTTCTCCATGTATAGCTGTTTTTCCTTAGACTCACGTATGTCATGACGTATATTTTCTATATCTTCTTTTATATAGACCATTTGTTCTAGTAGTTTATTATTAGTTTCCTTTATTAAATCAGATATTTTAGACCATAGGAGTGCTGTAGAAGTATCAAAATGAATTGCAAGATTTGTAACTGAATTTGCATCAATATTAGATGACTCACCTGTTGAACTCAATAAATTTTGCTGGTTAGACTCTCTTATTTCTTCTTGAAAATCACTATTTAACTGTATTCCATAGTCCGTAATGAGTTTTGAGCTTGAAGAACCTGAATAATCTTGTTTGTTCTCTGTTCTCGATCTTGTACGTGGCGGTCTTCCTCGCTTAACTGGGGATCTTTGCATAATGTTATTTTTTGAACTATTATTTTCTTCCTTTAACTTGAAGTATATAATATTAGTTTGCACTTATTTAATAATAAATTAATCAAACAGACTATTATTGGTCACTTCACTATCCTTATGTAAAGTTCACAAAAAAAGTCACTCGCAGCTTCGACATCCTGACATGCCCCCCCATACTCATAAAATTATAGATTAAATCATAATCTGTACTTTTTAATTATTCATTTAATAATGGAGAAAGTAAATAAGAAATTTGTTTTAATCTTAAAGAATAAATTTCTATTGCCAAATAGCCATCAATAGTCATTTTAAATTTATTTTTATAATTTTATCTATTTTGAATATTTTAATAAATATTAGAATTTAACTTGTAAAATTGATAAATGTTAAAGGTAAATCATTTATTGACTGAATTTTTCTTTCTTTGATTGATATTGTTTGGTCTATACATTAAAATACAAACACACTTTAAAACTTTAAAATTTTCAGTTACCTATTACTGATATTTTTTTCAGTGCATTAGTTAACTATGTGATAATTTTTTATTGAGAAATATTATTATTTGTAATCTAGTCATTATTTATTTATAATTGATATCCCGTTTCTATCTAAAAATTCTAATTTATTATTCAATTAATTTAACTATTTTTTTACATTTTATTATAATTGAATATATTATTTGAAAAAATTTTAAATATTTTTAATAATTTAAAGTTAAATTACTTTTTAAATTAGGCCACCACATGATTATATTCAAGAGCATGTGGAACGACCAATATCAGGAATTTTACAGCCTGCTGTAGATATTCCAATTGCAGATCCAAATCAAGTAAAACATTTAATTTTTTTTTTTTTTTTTTTTTTTTTTGATTCTGATGAAACTGTGTTGTAGTTTACTTTGCTTTATACAGACACACTAAAATGACTTTTTCAAACACTTGGCAGATTATTCATCTCTTTATTCAATTGGAATTTTATCCAACTGAATAAAGAGATGAATAATCTGCCAAGTGTTTGAAAAAGTCACTTTAGTGTCTCTATATAAAGCAAAATTTAATTTTTTTTATTTCTGTGAAATTTGTTAGGAATTGTTATAATACAGTAAATATTAATGAAGATATGATAAGCTTTTGAAAATATTGTCAGTAAAAATTTTTATTTTATTAATATAATTTAAAAGAAGAGAGTGATTTATTTTCAATAATTTAATTAAAAATTAATTTTTATTTTTCTCATAATAGTGTATATGATTTTACAAAATCTATAGAAAAAAATTATACGTTAACTTTTTTAAAAAACTGCTTATATAAGCACTTAAAATTTTTATATTTCATTAAAGTAAACTATTTTAAAACTTATGAAACGTGTTTTATGTACAATTAAATATATTTCAAATAATACTCAAACATTAAAAATGAAAACTAAAAAATATAATTTTGCACCCAATGATTAAACTGTGAAAATATAATTTATCCTCGTAATATCTGACGAGGTAATTTTGTTAACGCCACTCATGGAATAAAATCATAAGCTTTATACAACTTCTCACTTAACGGCTTACCTATGTTATGACTGATTGGACTTATGACCAGCTTTCCAGCACAGGGAATTCCCTTTCTTGATCTTTGTTGACAGTAGTATTCACTACATGAAGAATTTGCAATCTCCAAGATTACATATTTTATTTATAAATTTGTACTTTATTGTGCATTCCATTTGAAGGATTTAATAATTAATCTGAATGTTTTATTTTTATGAATGAACTTTAAACTTTTTTGTACATAATTTTAATCATTTTTGCAGATTGTATTTTTGTTTTGTAATATGTAAGAGATGCAAACGAAAACAAAGTTTTTTTAATTGTGCTGTTTCCAGAAGGATATTTTTAATGTTTTACATATTGAGGCAGACAAGCAGCCTCAAATGAAAGGTTGACTCCATTGTGGAACTGTTAATTTCCTTATGTTGCATGCAAAAGGACAACATAAGAAGACACCTATGTATTATCTACTTAGTGAATTTTTTAAAATTTTGTAAATTTTAAAAAGTTATTGAAGTGGAGTTTTTTTAGGCCTTTTCTTTATTCAGAATAAATGATTAAGCTTCTCATTTAACAAACAAAATAATTAAGTTTACTTTGAGAATAGTTAAATATCTAAAATACTGCAGCTATTAGAAAATCAGACTTTGATTGTTTATATCTAGACATGAAAAATATTCTGATTAGAAATATTTTAATCACTGTATCCATGCTGAATATCCAGAGTATTAGCAACCAGGAAAATTTCTGGAAAATTATAAAACTAAATGTAGTGAAAAAAATTACATATAGAGTTGATAGAAATATTATGGAAGAATTGAAACATAAATTTTATAATTTATCAGAATTCAAATATACAAAGCAAAAATGAATCAAACTTTTAGCATAGGTTTTGATTCACATCTACAAACTTTTATTCCAAATTACGTACAAAATAAATGCCCTTGCAACCAATTACTCTTCTAATATCTGTACCATTCTGACAAATGGTACAGATGCTTGCAGTATTTATCCAGTACTGGAAGCATTTTATTTATTTGTTAAAGAGTTCTAGTTACTACAGATTCCATCTTCACTTCCATTGATCATTCCTAGTCAGTGAATATCTGACCAAGATGATTGTACTTTTCCCAATCTTCTTACTCTTGATCTGCTCCTATAGAATTTTATTTGTTCCTAACATGAAAGTGCCCATTCCTCTGCCCATAAAATATCCTACTGTTGAGGAAATTGAACTATATTTATCTTGTGTAGAATTTTATCCAATGGCAATCTTATGTAAATTAATTAGAAGACACAGTCTGTCCAGAGTGGTATGGATGGAAATCAAAAAGATGCCTGTAAGACCAGCCAGTTTAATTTTAAATTTGTAATTTTAATTGGGTATTTTTGTGTTTTTTAAAGGAATTTTTTAAACTTGACGGCCATGCAGCCTAAAAAGAAAGGTCTAGTCATCAAATATTTGTATTCTGGAACACAAGAAGTGAATAAATGGCGGTTCCCATTTCTGGACAGACTGTGTCTTCTAATTAATTTATATTTAACTTAATTATTATAAATTTTCAATTTCTTCCTTAATTTATAGAAGTCAGCTTATGTCTGAGGTCTTGCCCTTCCTGTTTTAAGAAGTTTGACCTTTTGACAGTGGACATACTGTTGTGTTTGTTTTGCTAATGATTGTGTTTTCATTTGGAGTTATTCTAGTGTTGTTTGTATTCAACATATAATGCTAAATAATGTTTCTCAGGACCGTATTTAGACATTTATCATTGGGAGTATGTGGGGAGATGGAGCTGTTTTGGCAACTGATACCTATTTCTTATACCAGTAATACTTAAAAAGTGCCAGTCAAGAAAGCTGGCTCTCCTCTTCTATTTTTCCTATCCATCATGCCCCATCTTTACTGTTTTATTTTTCTTAATTCTGAAAAAATATATTATGTTGTTTTTGGTGGCATGACTTTGCAGACTATTCAGTGGAATAAGAGATACCTCTTAAATCTTTCAGTAGCTTTTACTCCTGATGTTAGTACTGAGATGATAGATGTTTGAGTTCTTTAAATGTGTGTTTTGCATTCATGTGTTTTTATTATTGAGTTTAACCTATCCAATGTTGAAATTTTTCTCCATTGTGTGTGGCTGCCATGTTGAATTTTTGTCAATGTTAATCTGCTGTTGTGTTTTACAACAGGAGTAAACATAGAAAACTTGCAGAACATGCACAAATAAAACAGACTTGTCAGTTTGATAAAATTGCCAGGACTATAATTGTAAAATTAATATACAGTTTAAGACTATACAATAAAGTGTCTTTCAATGTCCTTTCTTACATCTCAGGAAAATAAATCTTATGGCGGAGTCGACCATTTATTAGAGAGTGCTCATCTGTCTCACTCTGCAAAATGTTACAGGACTTCCAGTGACAGCACAAAATAAAAAATAAGTCTTGCAGTGGTTGACTTTGCTGTAAGACTTACTAGTGTTTATTTTATTTGTGCATGTTCTGTGCATTTAGCCTGTTGTATTTCTAAACATTTGTAGATTTTTATCCCTTATCTATGCATTCAATGTCATCTTCATTTTCAAATACAAAATCATTTATCTTTAAGATTATTGTTTAATGTGAAATATTCTACACTTGTCTAGGCCAAACTCCATTTGAATGCCAGTGGAGTAAGCGTGTACACAGGGCCGGATTAAGCCACTTTGGGGCCCTAGACATTTTCTTCTTACCGGGTCCCCCCCTCTCCCACAAGAAATAAAGCACACACCAAATTTAAAACCAAACCTAAATACTGTAATGTGGAAAACTAAAACAAATCTTAATTTTAGTTTTTCTAGAAAAGTTTGAACAGTTTGTTTATAAATTTAAAAAAATTGAAATTTATTTTATTAAATGTCTAACAAAAGTTGTTATACAATAACAATATTACCTTAAAATATCAATTGTTTAATTTAACGTTTTTGTTTAATATTTAAATAAATATTTTACTCATGAGAGATAAATTGACTAATAAAAAGGATAATTTAAATAAAAGCCAAGATAGTTTAAAAAATTAAGTACTGTATAAATAAACTTTATTTAAAAATTCTGTTTTCTAGTCTTTAATTCAGCAAAATTATCAATTATTTCATCATAATTAATATTATCCAAAGCATTTTGTTCGATGTATAAAACAGCTAAAGAATTTAATTTTGATTCACTCAGTGAGTTTCGTAAATAATTTTTTACACGTTTTAATACTGAGAATGATCTTTCACCAGATGCATTCGATATAGGCAAAGTTAAATATATTCGCAATAATATTTCTGTATTTGGAAATGTTGATACTATTTTTGTGCTCTTTATAAATTGCAGCATATCAGATGGCAACGTTAAATTTTGGCTTTTACAAATTAACTTAAATTGCAACAATTCCTCGTCCAATTCTTCGGTATCAATGTCGCCACTGTACCATTTTTTTAACAATGCGGTATTAATTGATATGTCTTCGTCGTCACCGTCAGCTATGTTTGTATGAAAAATTTTAAAAATTTCATCAATATCTTTGTAACTTTTGCTTCTAACTTTTAATTCAAAAGAGATTTTATCACAAATTACGTAGAAACAATTTCGCTTAAACATTTCTTGGCCCTGACAAAAACTTAGATTTTCCTCATCATTATAAGCATCATCAAAAAAACGTTTTCTTTTTTGGGACCTTTTTTTAAAATCACAATACACTTTTATTTCTGACGTGCTTAATGCCTCTGCTTCTATTTCCAGAAATGAACTTCTTAAACTATTAACGTAATCATATAAATTGTCAAAAATATTTACTGCAAACGAGAGTGGCAAAGTAGGATTTTGTAAGGATTGACTGCTTGCATTTATTCTGGAAAGAATTTTATCCCAAATAACTGTTAACAAAATGAATTCTAAAGTATTCATTTTGTTTGCTATTTTTCGTGATTCTTCTTTAACAGAACATTTCTGAGATTCGTCTGAAGATATTTCAAGAAGAGCACTTTTTATTTGGTCAAACCCAAAGCGAATTGCCTTAACTGCATCAGCTCTACAAGACCATCTCGTAGTACATAACTTTTTTACAGTAAAATGTTTATTATTTGCGGCAAAACTTTTTTCTGAAATGTTCCACCTATATGTAGAAGCCGAAAATAAGGTATAAATGATTTCCAGTAAATTAAAATATTTTATTGCCTGCAAGCATGATTCACTAGCACTATTTATTACTAGATTTAACGAATGCGAGGCACAAGGAACGTAATGGGCTGTTTCACTATGTTTTTTAATGCGGTTTTGGAGCCCATTGTATTTGCCAGACATATTTGCTGCATTATCGTAGCTTTGTCCTTTACAATTGCTAATATCCAGTCCTAATTTTGCAATATTCTGTAAAAGTTCATTTTCTAATGATTCCCCCGAGTGAGAATAAATGGGAATAAATCCAAAAAATCTCTCGATTGGGGTTCCATCTTCTGATAAATAGCGCAATATAAAAGTTAATTGGTCTACATGTGTTATATCAGGAGTAGAGTCAATTATTATGGAAAAATATTTCGCAGCTTTAACTTCTGACACAAATGTTTCTAACATTTTCTTGTTCAATATTTGAATAAATTCATCACAAATAGTTGAAGAAAGATAATTTACGTTGCCTTTTCCAGCTGATCCATATTGTTTTATATGCGATGCTAAAAACTCATCAAATTCTGCCAAATATTCTAGAGCTCCAATGTAATTCCCGCTTTGACATTCAGAAAAGAGTTCATTAGAGCCACGAAATGCCAGAGAATTTTTAGCTAAAAATTTTATTGTTGCTACTACCCGCAGCAGTACTTTTCTCCAGTATTTTTTTTTTTTCTAAATACTTTTTTTCAACTATAGTATCTACACGTCCCTCAACTGAATTTCTTGCTATCAAAATTTCAATAGAATGCCTATGATCAGTAGAACGTTCATGTTCTTTTACTCTTACATTTGCATTTTTCCAGTCCGAGTAACCTTCTGTAAAAGCGGTTCTTCTGATCGCAAACATCTTGCAAAAATAACAGTAAATTGCTTTACTTCTTGGGCTATATACTAACCATTCTCGCTCAATTTTTTCACCGTTTGCCTTGTTACGAGTAAAAATATTTTTCTTTAATGTCCGAGTTACAGTTTTTCCACCTTCCGTCACTACTTTTTTAGCGGTATGTACAAGAGAAATATTTGACGATGGTTTATTTTTAAGCAAATAACTTTGCTTGTCTGTTGTTAAATTTGAAGGCCATAACAAAATGTCCAAATTGTCAAAAATTAAAATATCATTAACGATATTGGATACACCTTCTATATTTTGTATTTCTACTTCATTAATTGCATTTTCGTTTTTATTCTCAACCTCTGGTATGTCTTTGTCTTCTATATTTTTCATTTCTACTACTTCAATTGTATTTTCATTGTTTTCTGTCTTTTCTACTTCTACTTCTTGATTTTCACTGTTTCCAGAATATTCACCAACGTCCTTTTCGTTAACCTTTACTTCAGGCTCAACTTCCACATTGATATTGTCTATTTTTGTATGAATAACATATTTTAGCAGAGCATTTCTCTGTTTATTTGCTTCTTCCTCCAACTTCTTCTTACACTTTCTTTTTTCAGAACCCGAAGCGTGATGATAATTCATTTTCTCTAAAATAAAATAAAATTTATACTTTAACAAGCTCAAATAATCAAATCAAGTAAAACGGTAAAACCGTATTTGGGACAAGACTACGTCTCGGAGACTCACTGTGGTCGTTCGGAAACAGATATTTGTGGGTCCGCCAGTAACCGTCACAAATAACAACACGGAAAAAAAATTGCACACGATATATATTCTTTTAATTCTTTCTGAACGGGGTTCTTTTAATACACCGACCTACAGATTTTCACTTCAATATATATACAGGGAAGTGAGTTGCCTCCTATTAAGTTTACAGGGATATACCGCATGCGCGCGTAACATAGAACAACCGAATAAATCTAATGACTAACTTAAAACTAATCTTACATCTATCTTAAAATAATGAGGAAAAAAAGGATAGACTTAGGAAAGCAAAGGTACGATAGGAAAGTAAACAGAAAGTACCTGGGTTCAAGTCGTCTGATCGATCTCCTTAACGATTTCCGTCCTCAAAATCGCGATTCCTTCTCTTTCTCTAGTAAACCATCGGTTCGATGTCTGAATTCTTTCACTCTTCTAGTATCCGATGGATCCTCGTACCTCTTTCTGTGTTCAGTCTTGGCAGGGTTCTCTCTCACGACTGCAATCTCCTCTCTTCCACCCTCTATCGAGCTTGAGCGCAGCGTCCGACGTCTGTTTGTTCCCAGGTCCAACTAAAAAAGTCCACAACTCGTCTCTCACGTTGTCTTGGAGTTTTACTTCCTTTGTCTATCTCCTCAAATTCGGGGAAGTCTTAATCTCCTCCTCCTTTGTTCAACTCTCATTCTTAGAAAGGGTAATCCTCACCCTCAAGCAGTAACGACTTATGTAGAAATTGCTTTGAGACAATGGAAAGGAAGTTAGAAAATAGAAATGAAAGAAGAAAATAGAAAAAAGTAAAGAACTTACGAACTATATAAAGACTAAAGTATGGCTGACAGCCACACACTACTAAACGGAATCATTTTGACGCTCAAGGCGGGTGTCGTTCTCATTCTCCAATCGTCTTTGGAATCTCTGCTTTTGGGCGCGATCGTTCAAACTTTGCCAGCCATGATGCATTTTCGATGAAATTAACCTATCCAATTTCGAAATTTCTCTTCGTTTCGTGTCGGCCCGGGTTGAATTTTTGTCGATGCGTAACGAAAATTTCCCGTTTTTGAAAAAAATAATCCTGGCTATTGTATCGTCCGAAATTACTTTTTTATTTTGCACAAACAATATACAGTTTAACCCAATTATAACGTCATCGGATGTAACGACAACTCTAATATAACGTCAAATCTTTATCGGTCCCACGATTTTACTATACTAGATAATGTTTAAAAAAACCTAGTTGTAATGACACCGTTTTAATGTCATATTTGAAGCACTCCCAAATTTACAAAATTAGATTACAAATTTTATTTAACATAGATGAAACGTGTTCAGTCCTAAGGTCAGAGTTCACTTCTTAGAATGACTGTGGGTGGTACTCTCCCCCACCTGACTTCGGTGGGGTAAGGTGGCTGTTTTGCCTGTCTGTAGAAGAGGGTCGCCATTTTGTATCTTATTTTGACTCGGTTCTCGGTCCCCTGACTACCTACGAGTCTGGATTTCTTTATGTGCAAATGATTTGGGCACCTAATACTCTGTGCCAAATATCAACTCTCTGTTAATGTTACCCAACTCTCGACATGTACTCCTTCATACCTCTAAGCTGGTAACATAAACTGGCGGTACGATTATATAAACAAGACATAGTTTGTCAAAAATTATAAAATTATTTTAATAATGGTAAATGACCTACCTCTCAACCTCAACTTGTCCTTACAATAGAAAAATAAAGAATTCAAAATTCACACTTACAACTAACTACTCACTGTTAAACACTAGGAGCGCCCCCAGCTATTATTTAAATTAAAAATATAATTATTATTGTCACAAAATGACACTGCTGCTATTAGATTTACAGTCATTGAAAAACCTCCTTTAGGGTGCCCTAGCGATGATTTTCAGCTATTATTTAGTACAATTGAGTATGTTATTATTTTTATTTGCAATAGGAATTTATTATTTACTAGCTGCAAGGACCCGCTTCGCTGGGTTTTTATTTTTATGTAATATAGTTTTTTTTATATATATAAAAGACTGTTTTTCTAAGTAATCTAGAATCTAGCTACAAAAACCCGCTTCGCTGGGCAAAAAGTAACGATAATAATGATTAAGATAATTACATTATAGCTAATCTTACTTGTTTTCACAAAATGCAAGAATTAGGTCCCCCGTTTCCAGACTAATTAGAGAATTTTTACGTTTAGTCAAACGAACAAATTTCAACGTTTCTGGAACGTTTTCAATCGTTCTATAATCAAACCAATTCGAATTTTATGTTCGAATTTAATTCGAACAAATTCGAAAAAATCGAACAAAACATTCGAAATAGAAAGCCACTTTCAACCACTTT